GTGATACACTAAAAATCTAAAATATGGTTATCTTGAAAACATAACAAATATAATGAAGCTACTGAATATATGGCTATAGAACCTAAATCTCTTAGCTTTCTTTGGTTAACGAGAGTTTCAAAAATTCTCTCTAATCTGTGGCTCATTCACAATCATCACACAATTTCTGTCACAGAGTACCTTAATATAACCGGAAATGACACCTGATTTTAAAAGTTACTCTTAAGCATTAACTTTAAAAGTAGGCAACTATCTGTTAATCTAGATGCTTTATATACCTGAATCTAATCCATAATTGCGGTACTTGGCTTGATTTCCCTAGTTTACTATATAACTTATTTGTTTTTTATTATTTTAATATGTTCAGTGTATATGGTTTATAGAAGTTCTCAGTAGTGTCCGTCAATAATATTCGTTTCTACAGTAATTTATATATAATTTCGAATCTAGGAAACAATTTTTCATGATTATTGGTCTTTAGGCCAAACATGTATGGAAGCTGAGCAATCTCCTTTTAATTTAACTTTAAAACTGTATGTTCTAGTTCTTATTAATTGTGATCGAGATAATGTGAAAACTACCATTTGATTATTTTTATTAACACTGACAATTGCAAGAAAGGGACAAACTCCACTTTCGTTGTTCTGCTGCTCGGAACATATTTCCCTCTCATGAAGTTAGAAACAAAAATGTACTTTATGTAGGACTGGTTAGAGTATATTTTTTGAAATCTAATATTGTTTCGTAAGCATTCCAGATAGAATATAAGTTCCTTGGGATAGAAACATATTTACGTGTCGTGTCGTGTCGACGCTCTAACCCCTCTCTCTCTCTAACGCATTATATATGTATGTAACCGGCGCGCCATGACACGTTAATATGCACAGGGCTTTATAGAGTACAGTCCTACATGCACACAAAGCAAGTATTTGCTTCAGGTACAGGCATAGTTGGTAGATGAAGGATGTGGCTGCTGTCGTCACCGTACCTACGTAGTGCTACCAGTATTATTGTTTAATAACAGTGTTGATTCTGGAATGGTTTCCTAAACCTTAAGTTAAATTTCACCATTACCTAAATAATTTCTGCTAAAGTAAACTTATTCCTACCATGAACAAAGTAAGCCACTCTAGAGCATAGTGTGATTACTAATGGAAGAAAATATGAATAGGTAATTTGCGTGACTAAAATGAGAATAGAAAGATCTGCATTTAAAATAAAGAAATGAAATGAATTAAAAATAAAACTGTATAATTATTTGTCTATTTTTTTTTTATTCCTCTAAACAACTAGACATCACTTTTAATAAAGCTTGCTTTTTATCATTTCATTTTCTACATAACTAATTACAAAAAAATATAAAAACAAGTGAAACATCTAGAAATCTTATTTTTAAGTGTTATAAACTTTTTTTTTGAATACATTATGTGTACAAAGGTCAGAAACACCAAATTAGTGACTATCAAGCGATATACATACAAGTGTACACTATTCATGACATAAATTGTGCTCCCTATCATCAAAGCTGTTTGTATTTTGTTTATCAGGAATTAATTAATCATAAAAATTTGAGTCAAATACAACAAAAATGTAAATATACTCATGGGAGGCAAACCAATGTTCAGGCAGCGCCCACAGAGATTGCCAATGGAAGCAAAAGGGAATAAAATAACTGAAGCGGGGGCATCAACTTCATTCTTACTTGCCTCCAGTGGCTAACCCCAGTGGCAACTGGAAAAATTTGCAAACTTCGTGAGCAAAACCACAGACAACTTGCACTGTAGACATTATTGCATGTAAAACTGCTACAGTACAGGCTTTCTTGTATTGTATATGGTCATTGCTCAAGAAGTTTGCCAAGAGTGTACACTAGGTAATTTATACAATTTTGAAATGGCATGGATTTTGATAGAGATATATGTTATAAACTTCATTTAACAGCTAAGGACATTGAAGTACTGATTTAAACAGGTATAGTGCAGTCATTAAAGAATGCAAGAATGCAGAATGTGAACCGAATTGCATACAATTTTGGAATGAGGGCTATCGTTTTTTGTCTCACCAGATGGCGCCACTGTTGAGTGAGGTCCTGAGTGTAGCTTTTAAAGTTAGTAAACACGCTCGTGATATCAGTTTACATTTTAATACAAAAGAATCGTATCTTAAACATAATCGCCCATTCCACAGTGTAGCGCAGTCCCATTTTGTTCGGAAAAAAGGAGGACAATATTTTCTTAGCTCCGCTTTTAAATAACTGACATTCATTGACACGTAACTCATATTTGCCATAATTAGTCTGAGTTATTACCAAGTATTCACAACTATTATTTTAATTAGAAAAAAACCGCGTAGTCTACCCACAAGCGATAACATTTGACATTTCGGAGACCTCACGTTACACAAGCGCCTCTAGCGGCATTTTCAGACGCGATAGCCCTCATTAGGTTCATCTTACCCTTAACTTCAAAAGTGAAAATGATTTGAACTCCGCAACCACCCTAGGGGTGGTTGCCACCCCTTCTCGGGGGTGAATTTTTTTGTTCAAAATAACCTCAGATATCGATCGAAGGCCTAATTTTAAGCAAAAAATCTTCTATAAAGTTTTTAAAAAAAATCCAATACTTCTCAAGTTATTGGCAATTGAAAATTCGCAATTTTTAGGGTTCCGTACCTCAAAAGGAAAAACGGAACCCTTATAGGATCACTTTGTTGTCCGTCTGTCCGTCCGTCCGTCTGTCAAGACCCTTTTTCTCAGGAACGCGTGGAGGTATGAAGCTGAAATTTATATCAATTACTCAGGTCTACTGTCCCTTGAAGCTGTGAAAAAATCAAACTTCTAAGCCAACGCAATCAAAAGAAACAGCAATTTAAGCTGCATATTTTGAAACTCGCAAGTACTCGCAAGGGAATCAAAACCTAAAGGGTACTTCCAGTCGACCTAGAATCTTGAAATTTGGCATGAAGCAACGTTTTATAGCACACATAAAGGAAAAATTCCGAAAACCTTAAATTTTTAGTTATATTACAAAATATATATTTTTTAATAAATATAAACTTATTACTTTTTTCCTCATGAACGCGTAGAGCTATCAAGTTGAAATTCATATCAAATACTTAGATCTAATTACCTTTAACCCGTGAAAAAAAAAAATTCTAAGGATTGTCGTAATGAACGAACTTTGTAAACCTTGCAGGTTTGTACGGAACCCTCGGTGCGCGAGTCCGACTCGCACTTGGCCGGTTTTTTTAACGTTTTTCATCGGTTTTTTGCAAATATCTCCAAAAATATACGTTTTATCGAAAATTTTATAAAGAACATAATTGTAGCAGGTAAGACAATGAACAATTTGGTTTTTTATAAAGTATTCTAAATGCAATATTAAGCTAGATAAAGATCAAAGCCGTTTTTTATTTTGTCTGAAATTTAATCGATGTGGTCAATGCCATCTAGCGGCGAGCAGATGCATTTCATGCATTCTAATACAAAAGGGTTTTGTAGTGCTTGAAATAAGCTTTAAAATGAGCACTATTAAAAGTCTTTTGCACGTAAAATAAGTGAGCTGTATTGCAAATAAGGGGAGCATCTAATGTTTTTTCTTTTAAATCAATGGGTTTCATAAGTGCCATTTACACCAAAATTAAAATTAATCGTATTCCGCCTAGAATTAACTTTATTATGAAGAGTTTGATAGATAGTATCAGTTTGGCTGCTTCAGGATACATATTTTTCAAAAAAGTCACGATTAAAAACAAATACAAAATTTCAAATTTTTAAAAAACCCACTTTTTTTCATAATATCTCAAAAATGACGACAGATACATATAAAACTGTAAGGATTAAAAATTTAGGTATTTTTCTGACAAACAATTTGGTTTTTTTGTTTTTTCTGTCAAACAAAAATTGACAGAGATATGATTGTTTAAAGAGCGCGTGGCAGCGCAATCACAGCCTCTCTTAAACCCTTCACCGTTTTAGAAAAAGGTTTTTTACTATATATTGCAATGAAGGATGTTGTGGCTCTCTTAATTACCTTTACAATGGTTTTTTATAAATTGTGATAGCATGAAAATTGAAGGAGTTATGGTCCAAAAACTTATCATATTTTTTTCTACTTAGTAACTGAAATTTTGGAGTGTGAATATTTGGAGCAATGTGAAAGTATGCAGTATAATAGAGACCCTAACTATTGTAATGTGTATATATATACAAAATATGGCTCATATATTTTGGAAACGTAGGCATGAATACATATAAACGTTCTTATATGTATATATAACACATTTTAGTGAAGGGGCCAACGAAAAAGAATTTTAAATTTAACAATTTTTTATCAAGGGGTAGTTTTCAAGGGTTGAAAGGGGGTTAAAAATTTGATAATTATTATAAAGAACATAAAATATTACTTACTCTATACTTACATCTTTTTATGTCATACCAAAGTATTTTTTTGTCATTTTTTCAATTTAGGGGTTGTTTGCAAGGGTTGTAAGATTTTCAAGGGGTTGAAAATGATTTTAATATGAGGTAATTATGTTAGAAAATACTTTACAATTTCACCACTTTCAATTAGACATGTTTTCTAGCGATAAAATGGCTCAATGTCAATTTTTCCATTAAGTGGTTATTTACACCCCTTAAAAATAATAGGCGGAGTTCAGACCATTTTCACTTTTGAAGTTAAGGGTAAGATGAGCCTATTTCCAAAATTTCATGCAAATCGGTTCACAGTAAAAAAAATCAGAGGTAAGACCGTATTTTTCGCTTCAATGACTGCAATAGTACTGGAATTCAAAAATATATATAGAAAGTGCTAAAATAAAAATCCATTATAGTACTGGTTATTTGAATAAAACTTCACAAGTCATTGTTTTATTGAAAAATCATTCTCATTTTGATTACTAACAGCCTTGACTGCAACTGTGTACTCGCATTCACTCTTTTTATTATAAATATTCCAGCATTTGCCAGGATATAAAACACACATCACATTGATCTTGTGTCAACTATTATTATCTGAAGGTGGTGCCTTATTCTCATTATCAGTGCCAAGTATATCTTTATCTATTTCTTTGAAATCAATATTTTGTTGCTTCATGGCATTCTGGAAAATAAAATATCAGTTTGTTTATGAAGTTTCTACAAAGCAGTTTAACCACAATTCTCTAAACTTCAAGAAAATTGGTTGGTTAGATAGAAAAGGAAACCCGAATTAAAAATTTAACTTACAAAGGCTAACTTATTGAGAGAATAACGTTGATTGTGGATGACTATGAGCAAACTAAATCTATCAATCTCTTTTTATACTTTAAAGAACATGCTTAATGACAATATTCTGTTTTATATATAATATTTTAAATTTAGTTTTAAATTTAGAGAATCAGGCCTCATACCTAGCTATGAAGTTAAGAATCTCTAATTAGATTTGGGATCTTACTAAAAATTATAAATTGTAACGGTCGCGTTTTCGAAAAGCACAAGCATACCTTAACGCACTCTTGATAAACTCTAAAAATTCCAGAACATACGGAATCATCATTATAGCCCTTCAAAAATTTTTCAGAAAACCAAGTGTTGAAGCAATCATCGTATTTTTTCTTTAATTCGGTACATTCTTCGCCAATACTATTCATTTCTCAACTCAATAATTTCAAATAACACAATTGCACTTGCACAAGAAAGAAACTTTATTGCAAAAAAAAATTAATTTTTCGGACCCAAAGCTTTTTTTTTCTTCTTTCTGTGGCGTTCTCCGTTTTACACAGAAAATTCGCCAATTTAAAGATTATTTACTTGCTCACTGTCACTGCTAGGGTCATGAAAAAAGTATCGATACTTTGTGATATCCAGTACTTTTCGTTTCGATACCGATACTTTTACTAAATGAGTACTTTTTGACAAGTATCGGCATGTATATTGATGGCAACGCCATCTTTTTAATTCATAGCAAACCTTCTAAAATTATTTTGCTTGTTTTGTTTCATAGTTATTTATTTAACGAATAATATGTATCAGGAACTGTGATTGATTCGCGGTTTATTGTGTTTTTCGCTTGACTGTATTGATTTATTCAAGTGTAACACTATTGTCCTGTCTATGCTGTGTATACCTATTTGAAACCACGGACCTGAATAAAAGACGGACGTAACCTTTTCTATAATTATAATCTTGAGTGAAGCATGCCAATGCCCGCCGTTAACTGCATGTCAGGTTCAAGTTAACATAAGTGGGTATAATGTTTTTTAATGATTAAAATTCAAGAAAAGTAAGTTTCATATGTAACAAATCTGAAAAGTTTCATACTTTTAAATTGATTAAGATTTCGATCTTTTTAATTAACATTTTAATTATGAATGTAATATTAATGAACACTTTTAGTGTCAGAAATCATAGATGCTTTCTTTTCATTATTTATTTAATTACGCACGTTTAGTTTTGTAGTTGATTATATTAACAATACACCTTTTTAATAGTAGTTAGATAATATAGCAATTTGTGAATTTACATGTCCTTTTTTTGTTTTTGATTATACGTACTATAATAAAATTTGATTGTTTTTCTTTCAATTTTAACCCCGGGGGGGGTGCTCATTAGGCCACAGAGGATCCGATCAGGCCCTATGAAATGTACTCGATACTTTGAAGTATCGATACTTTTGTTTCAATAATTTTAAGAGTACGATACTTTTTTTCCGATGCTACTCATGAGTACAGTATCGATACTTTCTATTCGATATCGTGTCCCTAGTCACTGCTCATTCAGTAGCGCAAAAGGTGTTGCCAGGCCCGATTTTAGAATTTGTTAAAAAAAAAGGAAAATCTTAAAAAGCGTTATGATGTATTTTATATTTATCATTATCAATATTTTTTATTGAAATCTTTACTAATATTATAAAGTGGAAAGATTTCATTGTTTGTTTATTTGTATTGATTAGGCTCCGAAACTGCTGGACTGATTTAAAAAATTCTTTCACGTTTAGCTTCCTACATTATCCTTGATGAACATAGGCTATAGAATATTTTCAAAAATTTCGTGTCAAAGTTTGTATGGGAGATCATGCAAAAGTGCATAGGATTGATTAAAAATGTGCACACCTACTCTGTATAAAATAAAAATGGTTGCCTGTAAAGTCGGTTTTACGGGCGAAGATTTTACGTGACGTCTTTTTCTCGGTAGAATATTTATTGATATGAATATAATTAAATTGCACAATAGGAACAAGGAATTGAATGAAAATAAGAATTGCACAAATTTTAACTATAGAAATATATTTTGTTTACTAAAACATTGTACATGTAAACTTAAACTTAACACGAGAGACTCATCGTAACGTTACCGAGCGTTACACTTTTTCATAAGTGACTCCCAGCCGCAACCTAATTTAAGACGTTGTCACGTCAAAAAGTTAGGGTCCGTATGAAAACTTCGATAACGTTACCCAGGGTGTGAAAAAAATACCATAAACCGCTTACAGTTTGTCTATAAAGTCGTGACATGAATGTTTGAGGCACTAACATTATTCATGTGTCTGGCAACACCAAACTTATGTACATCAGCTGTCATCGAGTTTCAGTTGTGGAACAGTTTTCCTTTTGTATTTTTTATTGTTTGGATTAAGCTGTAATAAATTAAGACGAAACTGCGCAGAAAGGTATAAAAATGAGTAAAGTAAATCGGAGTGGCACGCGGGAAGTGATTTTTAAAGTTTTCCAGCGATGTTTCGAAGACTACCAAGCTGGACGAATTTTGTGGGATTTGGACGATGTTTATGGGCGAACAGCATCTATGATGGGTATGTAATCGTGTATAAATTTGTTTGTAATCCGCCTGAAGTTACAAATTTACTCAATTTACGATTTTGAGACCAAAAAAGGCATTGTTTACATTGCACATTTTTAGGTTAGATTGACATTGTAAATAGGTAATATTGTAGTACGACCATTTTTTTTTGATAAGTTATTATGGTTCAACTCGGTCAGGTTTTCTACCAATTTTGAATTAATTGCTTCATGTCAATAAGTTATTGTTTCTATTCCGTTACATATTTTTTTTACTTTTTTTCAGGAAAATCAAAGAGTCGGATAGTCAACGAAGGTTTTAAGAATGATGGAAAGTTTGAAACTCCTGGGAAAACAGACAAGGCCGACCAAAGAAAGAAATGGTCACATAGAGAACCACGGCCAGATGCTTTTAGTGAAGATACCTATCACTAATTTTACTAACTGCACATTTACAAATTGCTTCTCTAAATAAACTTTTTATATACTATAAAATGATTTTTAGTATTATTTTCTTAAGTGTGTTAAAAAACGTCGTATGATGATACTTGTCTGTATTGATGATTACCTAACGGCTCTGGTCTCAATGGCACCTCAGCGGTAATCACCAACATTACACACTTTTACACTATAAAGTACTATTTTATCTATAATAATTTTATTCTGATTCAATTAAATATTCTTGGCTAAACTTTTTATAAGTATAGGTACCTACTATATATAAAACAGAAACAAAATAAGACTGTATGGTGTCTTATTAATTACCTATTGTACTTGAATGAACTGCTAGTATCAAAATAATTTTGGTCCGACTGTATAGGGTTGCTACATGCATACTACTGGCGCCATCATTTAATGTCACGACTTTATAGACCAGCTATACTCTAAGTGTGTTCCGCGGAACCCTAGGGTTCCGTGATACCTCTGTCGGGGTTCCGCAAGAATTTAGAAATAAAAAAATCAAAACACCTCTCTCTGGTCGCTCCGCGGCTGTGCGGACTCCGCGGCCGCGCGGAGACAAAACGCTATGAATGTTATTTATTTATTTATTTGTATTTGTATAAGCTTGTGTTACATTAGCTGGTACAATATCTCATAAGTTTGGTCTCAACAATTTTATACTTGTACAACGCGTTCGCTCTAAGTTTGCCGGTCTGTGGAATGCGCGTACCCTCCCCCACGTGACAACAAAACTTATAATGTGTCATAGTTTTACCCAAATATCTAACGTACACAATTTTTATTGTTACAATTAAATAAAAAATTTCGAACGTCATACACTCATACCTATCGCCAGCGGCAAACTTAAAACGAGCGGGTAGGTATACTTGTAAGCGCTCAGTCTCTTTGATAAAAGCCGCCTCTGAATTAGACGCTATAGTTGTCAACTAGCGACTTTCGTCTCTAACTTCAAAGGATAAAGTCGATATTGTTTACAACGCTATTTTTAAATTTCTGTTTTTATTTTTGCTTTTTGTTTATCAAAGGTGCCGACTCGAGTATTTTCGAGAATATTTGAGATCGAGTCTAGGACTAAGTATAAAAGCGGCGATCGCGCGCTTCAGATGAAGCTTGTAAGGCCCTTCAGGCCATAAGCATGATCTACGGGTGTGTTTTAGTCAGTAAGAGTCTGACATAACCTTGCAGCCGGCTGTAAGGTATCCATGAGGATTTCACACCCGCTCCCCCGCCTGGGAGGAATCAAAAGTTGGCGTCGTCAGTTGATGATTAGCGTTCGGAGCGATAAGTTACTACCTACTTACAAGCTCGCTAGCGAGAAACTGGTGTTCATTGTTTTACTGCCTGCTGTATTCTGTTGTCTCAGTTTTATACATTTCTTCCCTGTAGGTTCTAAATTTAGTCTCTTATACGCAGTAACGATTGTGCATTATTTAAACCCCACTATCCTGACTTGTAACATTATAAATAAAGAAGAATGGAACGTTGGCTTAAAGGTGTTAAACGTGTTCCAACAACATCTTCTAATGACGCTGAATGTTCAAAAGCAATGCGCGCGGAGAATTTAGCAATCACCGATCCAGAAGATGATGCCACGAGTGCCACGACGTCAAGCTCGACGGTTTCAAAGACGAAAAAAAGGAAGTATGATGAATCTTATATCAGTTTCGGATTTGTTGATTCCAACGGCTCACCTCTCTGCATGCTCTGTAGTAAACTGCTTCCTAATAGTTCCATGGCACCTGTGCGTCGACATTTAGAAACCGTACACCCCGAGACTAAAGACAAGAATAAAGAATTTTTTGTTCGCAAAAAAGATCAGTTATTAGAAAGTCAAAAAAATATGATGCATGTAACACAAACTACCAACGAAAAGGCCACGGAGGCATCATACTTAGTTAGCTATCGCATTGCACAAGCAGGTGAAGCGCACACTATCGCTGAGAAATTAATAAAACCATGTGTATTAGACATAACAAAATGTATGCTTGATGAAAAATCTGCAAAGCATCTTTCTACTGTTCCGCTATCAAACGATACTGTTTCACGACGAATCCATGATCTGGCAAGCTACGTCAAACAAGAACTAGTTACACGTCTACAAAATACACGATTCGCTTTGCAAATGGACGAGTCGACTGATGTCGCTGGTTTGGCTATCCTGCTGGTTATTGTGAGATATCCATATAAAAGTTCTTTTGAAGAAGACATGCTTATGTGTTCATCGCTGCTTACAAACACTACCGGGGAAGAAATTTTTAATAAAATAAATATATTTTTTGAAGAACATAATCTCAGTTGGAACAATTGCATTGACATTTGTACAGATGGGGCCAAGGCGATGACAGGTAAAACAGCAGGAGCAGTGTCACGAATGAAAAATAAAGCGCCTAATT